ACAACACCATGAATTCCTTAGGGAGGTGCCAGCCTCATCTTCTTGAACTTCCCACGCTCCTCCGGCAAACTAAGAACACGCTTATCTCCCTGAGCCTGGCCTTCATAAGTCCATTCCACCACAAGACCCAACGTGCAGCCATGATTTTTCTCGTAAATGAGGTCCTGCTGTGAGCAGGACATCACCTCGCCATGGCTCCGCAGGAAGTTTAACCCATTTCTGAATGAACAATGGAAACCTGGAAAAGGTGACAACCTCCACCTCACCATTTTTATTAGTTGTAAGCCATCCTTTGGGTGAGGAAATATTTGGACAGACTGAAAGGGCAGAGGGTAAATGGACAAGAATGAGAGATATGTATTATGAGGGAATTTTCTTCCCCTGCAGCAGATCTAAACAACAACAACAACAGATGTCAATCCTACCTGATTTAATTTGCTGCAAATGTGTTCCTTTTTCTCTTCTCAACATAACATCCAAACTATTAAAAGACAGTATACTAAATTTGAAAAATAATCTAACATATCAATAAGCCAACAAGAGGGTTAACATTATGCTATTCTATAAAAGTACAAGCCCCTGCCATTGGGCTAGGAGAGGGGAGATCCAGGTTCAGGTCCCTCCCTCAGTCACGGAGGCTCCCCGGGGGACTTTGGGCCAGTCCCGCCATCTCAGCCCAACAGCTAGTGTGGTGTAGTGGGTAAGGTGCTGGACTAGGAGTGGGGAGATCCAGGTTCTAGGCCTCCTTCAGACCCAGAGCCCCATGGGAGACTTTGAGCCAATCCTTCTCTATCAACCCAGGAGCTGGAATGGTGTTGTGGTGACGACAACGGAGCAAGAAGACCCGGGTTCTCCACCCACAGCTAAGGAAGCTGCCTGGAGGACTCTGGTCCACTCCCTCTCTCTCAACCCCATCTACCTCCCAGGAGTGTTGCTTTGGGGAAAATTTGGAGGAGGGAACACTACGCACACTGCCTTTTGCTTCTATAAATCTAAGAAATGAACCAGCCACCTCAAGACTGCCCATCGGCTGTTCAGGAGGAAGGGGAAGTGAAGGAGGATTGATCCAGTCCCTGCTTCTCTGCCTGAAGCGGCTGGGGGCGCATGAAGACAGGGAGCGGCGCTACTACAAGCATTGGGCTCCAAGTGTGCACGCGGCAACTCTGGCTTTTAGCCTGGCCTGAGCAATTATGCAGAGAAAAGCCACTTGCTGACGTCTCTTGTCATCCAACTGGGCTGCACACAAAAAAGACTCCTTTTTCATTATTTATGCTTCTTGGTGAATGAATCTTGGCCAGACAGTTCCTCCCGCTAAGTCAGTATTAGATAGTTTTGCTTTAAAATGTCTAGGGCAATGAATAAAAACAACTCTAAGAAAGTATTTGAATGCAGGACAAGAAAAGCTGCCGTATTTGTCTGCCTACTAGAGGAGGGGGGAGAAACTTGTTTAAAGTAAATTTAATTCATTCTGCCTTTTTGAATCAACACAGAAACCACATTTAAGCAATAATCCCAAAGGCACCGTTTCCTGATGTTCTGCAGTGTGATTCAGCAATCAAAAATGTTTATAACAGAAAAGTGCTTTTTATTAAGGCAAAAAGTGCTTTTGATCAGATGGAAGAACTGTGTATTCTAGGCAAAACTGCAAACAAAAAAGCAGATACATGCTTTAGTGTCAACATTTTTTAGCAAAAGGAACTCACGCTCAGCAGACCGAACCTGCCAAATTCACAAGAAGGAGAAACAGAGGAAGCAGAGCCGCCAAATGAGGGAAATGCACGCTGAACGTCTGCCCACCCCTAGTTCTCCTAGCATCAGCTGCTCTTGCGCGGGGGCAGGTTCTAAGCAGCTGCGACCGGACCATGGAGTTGCAGGGGCTGAAAGAAGCACATCTGGGTGGCCAGGCATGAGAGCCACCAGCCCGGGAGGGGGAGGACCCTGTGCAGAGATGTGTTCACGTGGAAGCGCAGAGGTGGAGGTCCTTCAGGATTCAGCTCTTGAAGATGTAGCAAGTTCTGCTGCTTCCTGCTAGAGTTTTGGCCATCAGTTCCCCAACCGCTTCTCAGTTACCAGGATCTCATATTCGTTGTCCATCTTTTCATTCATCAACACGTATTCATCAGCTTTGGTAGGCTCCATACTGTAGGTGTTACCAAAATGTAAATTAGGTTCCTCATACACGCAGGGACCATCGACTCCTGAGCTGGCCAGGACGTGTTCATTTGCCAAGGTTAGGGCATTATTGTTGCTGAAACAGACAGTAGGATGGTGAAATCAGGCAAGCAAAAACTGCGGGTTCCACTTATCTGGGGAATCTTAGCATGGTGAAAGATGCCTTTGCACAACACTTTTTTGAAGGGCTGACTCAGAAAGATATCTATTTGCTGCCTCGGCAGTTAGCATGAGCTCTCTGCTCAGCCTCGTGAATGCCGCCTCATTTACCAGCTCTCTTGCAGAGAACATGATCTATTTTGAGACCTCAGTTCTGCTTTAAAAAGCACAAAGGGTAACTTAGTGGTATTTGTCCAGCACAAACCCATCCGATCCCATTGGCCTTCTGCTCTTCCTCTCAAAGCACACATACACACACACACATGTGCGCACACACATGTGCGCACACACACACAGGCATTCACAGAGACTGACTTCATCCCAAACTCTCTGTAAAAAGAGTCTTAGCTGCAGACAGGCTGTAAGGAACAGAAAGGTCAGTTTCACAGAGTGATGACAGCTCTGACTAAACAGGATTTTCGATTAGCAACCAGAGGAAAAGGAGGAAGAACAAGAAGTGTATACAGAGGCCATGGGGAGATACGGCTTTCCCGAATTACGCTCAACCCCCATAATGGTGGGTCACAACCCGGCTGGGTTTACTAAATTTATGTGATCTGGAGAGAAACCTGAACGTGGAGACACTGGTTCTAGAGGGTAGTCCCAGGCCAGTTAGCAGGGGTCGCATCTTACGGCAAACTAAATTAGGGGTTGAAGTCATCCAGCATTTTGAAAAAGAAAAAACAAAACTGGTTGAATGCAATTTTTAAAATATTGCACAGCCTGCAACAAAGCCATACATTGGATTCACGCAACACAATTAAGCAAGGTCAACTTAACCTATTTTCGGGTTTGCACAATATAAGTGATCCCATTCGCTAGACAAACAGGCAGTTTCACACCAGATAGTAAGGCGCATGCGCGCACACACACACAAAGATTAAAACCAATTTTGGACAAGGTGGAAACTGCACATTGTGGGCATCTAGCTGACCTGGGTTAAGGGTGTTGTGTAACACAGCCACAGTGATATCAGAGCTAGGTCACCTCCACCCAGGAAAGGGGAAGCGCAGTAAGGCTCTCTTAAGAGCTCTGTGCCCATCTCTGAGTGGCAGAAAACTCCGCCAGCGTGAAATCTGCCACCCTCCTGCCCTGATGGCTTCTCCTCCCAGCCCCAGCATCCTCTGGCTCACTCCCAGGCCACGGGGGACAGAGCCTAAGGGATTCATACCCCTTGAAGCTGCCTTGGATGGTGTCAGAATGCGAGAGGAGCCACTGCCTGAGCACTGTATAGCCAAGGACACGCAGAGGCTTTCTCACTCAGACACCGGGGGCTAGATGAAGGCGACAACACAGGGGCGTAGCAGAAAAGAATAAATACCTCTGGTGGGGTATGTGTATGCTGTCGTTCAGTGCATGTCTGGGTGCAGCCTTACTCTAGCCCTGTGTTTCTTCACCTCAGTTACTGGAAGAGGTGTGGATTTCAACTCCCAGAATTCCCCAGCTGGCCTAAAGCCTTAAAAAAAGGATGGATTTGCTGTCACTGGAGTCCATACCGAAACCAGCATGCCTTGCAGAGTCCTCTGCAAAAATAGCCATGAGATAACGGCATCCTCCAATGACCTCTCGTCCAGGAGGGCGAAACCTGTGGCTCTTCAGATATTGCTGAGCTGCAATGGATTGTGCTTGAAAACACCCTCAGCAGATCACTCAGCACCAACGACACTGTGGCTGTCATTGTGGCTGTGTTACACAACATTCTTAACCCAGGTCAGCTAAATCCCACAATGTGCAAGTTCCATGTTGTGCAACAGCTTGATTCATCTCAATATATTTTTTTCCCTTTGTATCGTAATGTGTTGCATGGACTCTGCTTGTTTGGTTGGTAGGGGTTGGTAGGGGTCAGTAGGGGGTTCACTTGCAATTCCGGAAGGCAGTACTATTTTTCCAGGCATCAAGAGGTTCCTCCTCTGCATTTCCATTCTGCACCAGAAATGGGAACTGCACGTTCAGCCTTTTTTCATCGAGTCTGTCATTTACACCCAACTCTCCAGAATATTTCTGGTCAACACATTTCACTATTCAGTTCCAGGATCAGACAATCACTTACTATGTTACTTCGTAAATACTATCTGAAAAAGAAACAGCATAGTTTTAAATTAATTTTTATTCCCAGAAAATAAAGTTACTACTAAATTAAAAAAACAACAGCAACAACTGCAAATGGTAATAAAATAAGAAAAGAAAAGAAAAGAAAAGAAGATGGAATGAAATGGAATGGAACAAATCAAACCAATTGGATAATTGGAGGCCAGGACGGAGAGCTTCTATGGCATTCTTATCATAAGGGTATTTCGAGAATTTGAGATCTTAAATTTAGTCTGTAAGTACTAAATGGTGCTGTCCACAGAGTCACTATTAGCAATCTGGATCCTAATTCACTCCATCCTTCTGATTCCTGAGAGCTTCTCTTTCCAATCCCAAGATGTTCTGCTGTTGCCCCCTGATCCCCAGTCATCGAAGATGAGCATCCCCCAACTCACCCTTCTTAGTCTTCCTCCTGCAAAAGATCACAGAGACGACCACAATGATCAGAGCTGCACAGAGCACAGAGATCAGGATGATGAGATACAGCGGCAGAATCAGCTTCCGAGCACCTGGAGTGACACAGCAGAGACGGAGATTTCCAGTCAACTTTGAAATAATTGATACGAACCACCATTGCGTGTTGCCTATTCAGGTCATATCCTTAAACTGTCTTTCCCAGAGGTAAGCCCCACTGATGTCTACTGGATTTGCTTCTGAACTTGCAGTATGAGATACGCTTTGGCTATTATTAATAATAACAGGACCCTGGGCTGTAGCACCCTGAGGGTCTTGAGACCTCTCCAGCAACTTTGGCGTGGCCTCTTTGCAACCCAGAGTAACAAGAGAAAGGAAGCTATTTTGTGTATTGGGAACTTGGTAAACAGAAAAGCAGCTGAACAGGTAATGTCCACATCTGGAGGATGCAAGGTTGAGGAAATGGGCCAGTGTCCTTTCTTGGGATGATGACCATATTTGGTTTGGTATCTGGGCCACCCTGCAAAATGTATGTGGCTGGTCAGAAAGGCCATAAAAGGGGCGTGAGTGAGGCCAGAACAAAACAAGCAGGCTAGATTCATACTTAATAAATTAAATATATATTTCAGGAGGCAGTATAGCCTCCTGAAATGATCAGCCAACTATCCATCTGTGATCTGCTCAGTCTTCCTCTTCTTCCCAACCCATTCGTTTTTCCCTCAAAGATTTCTTTTGCAATGCAGTTCTCATTCATTCTCTTGCTAAGATCAAATCAGCTTTCATACTTGCTACTCACTTTTGTATTCAGCACCTGATCATTCTTCACCCTCCTGTCTCTTCTTGTTTTACCACTTCAAAAAGCCCATTCCCAGTGCAATCAAATTACTTTTCTCCTGACATACCCAACTTTCGCCTGCCTATTAGACATATCCAGACAGTCATGTTTGCTTCTTTCAGCAGATCTCCATTCTTCATCACAGGCCATACATCACCCAGTATCTTTCTACCAGCATTTGTGCATCTTAAGATTTCTCCATCCATTTTCCCATCTTTAGTAAACATTCTACCAAGGTCCACAGAATTCATCTACTTGATCTAGTTTTTCATCATTTTCCTGTCACGAAACTACTTTGATCTTTGATCAGTTGATGCTTAGATCCACGGTCCTTGCTGCATCATGCAATCTATGTAACATTTGCTGCAAGTCATTTGGATTCTCAGCCAACAACATGGCATAATCCACATACAAAGTACGTATACTGTATGTTCATATTCCCAGCCAACACACCTCTAACGAAACCAGAGATGCTTGTTATAGAACGTATCCCTAAATACATTAAGCAATCAAAGGAAAATCACACCTCCTTGCCTTACTCCCTGCTCAGTGTTGAGCCATTCACTGAGCGTTCGGTTTATTCTCCGGTGTGAATTCCTTCCATCCTATGGCATTTGGCAACCAACCTTCAATGCCCTATTTATGCAGAGCATTCCTTAATTCAAGACAATACACACTCACAACATGTACTTCAGCAGGTGTACAAGAAGGGTTCTTCCTCACACTCAGACATTTCTCAGTGATAAAAAGGGAAAAGCTGCGCTTCACTTCCCAAATTTTGCTCACTGTGCCCTCTTCACCTCTTCCAATCAGAATTTGGTTAAACGCCTTCTCGGGCACACTTAACAAACTAACTCCCTGAAGTGTTTGCATTCATTCTTGCTACTTCTCCTTTGGTGTAGGAGAACAATAGCAACTGGGAAGAATCGTCAGGCACAGATGCACTCTTTGCACACAAGTTAAGCAGGTTGCACTGCTACTCCATGAGCAAACCACATCAGCATCCTACCCGCAGGCTTACCATTATTCCTCGCCTATGTTCGTCATTGCCCAATACTTTTTTTAAAAAATGAGAATAAATAATCAGAAGCCTGGGGGGGGGGGTGTGCACGTGTGTGCATGCTCTCGAGTTCTCCTGCAGGGAATTCCAAAGATGGCAAAGTTGTGATATAAAAAGTGAATCAAGGTGGTCCATTCCAGGGGTGTCTGCAGAGGGGATTAAAACCGGCAAGGTGGGAATGCCGGTCGTGATCAAAGTCCGGCCCTTTTGCAACTGCACGTGTGTCACACTTCCATACAAAACGACAGGCTTCGATTACAGCACTGCACCCTCCTTGCAGATTTTGACACCCGTCTTGCAAAAACTCCTGGCAGTTCTAATTAAATTTTAAATGATACTAAGTTGATCCATGAAGCTTAGCTTCAAGACATCCTGGATAGTCTTTATTTGTCAACAACTGTTCTTCTTTTCCTTTTAGAGCATTGGCTCCAAACAGGAGTGTTAGAGGGACTGTTCCCACATAGTTGGCCACCAAAACTGTGCATGAGATCCCACAACCAGCAGCAGATCAGGAGGGCTCCAAGGTAGTGTTTCTCAACCTTGGCCATTTTAAGAGGTGTGGACTTCGACTCCCAGAATTCCCCAGGCAGCAACGCTGCCTGGGGAATTCTGGGAGTCAAAGTCCACATCTCTTAAAGTGGCCAAATTTGGGAAAAAACAGCTCTAAGGTGACTCCAAAACCAAAGCAAGATTTGGACTGCATCTTCCATACTGTAGGAAGATTGTTTTTAAAAAATGCCACCAATTCTTCCATCCTGCAGCAGTCTTAAGTGCGTAAAGGCCGTCCCCAGCCTTCTTCCCACCTCCAGTAACATAGATTGGCTCCACCTTATTCCTTCTCTTACTTTCCCCCTGCTGTCCTGAAGGATTCCTAAAAGGTGTGGATGAAGTCACCATTCCATCTGGAAGACAAGCCAGAGAGTCCAAGTCAGATGGAAGAAATAAAGCTAGCGAGAGCCAGGCTGTACAACCAAAGCTTTCATGCCCACTGCCCCATACGCAGTGCCAAGATGATGCCCCCCACCCCAGAGAGCTGGAGGTCTGCCACAAGGGTAGGGCAAAGGACAAGAATCCTTTCTGGTGGGGAGGTAACCTCTCTGCCACCCTCGCCCAAATCTGCAAGTAGAAGGTAGATCAGCTTCCACCTTCTCCTTCCCAGGAACAGAGCCATCCAGGTCACCTTTTGTGTTAGAAGCAGAAGCAAAACCACTATCCAGAGCCATCTCATGCAGGTGAGATTATGGGCTCTTCCGCACATTAACTGTAGACAGGAGATGCCTTGGCAATCACATTTGGAGGACATAATGTCCCTTCCACTCAACCCTGACCCACCATAGGGACAGCCTTGTGTTTGTATTTACTCTCCACTCCTGAAGGGGAGGCCCCCTGCTCTTTCTAGTACAAACCATGCCACGCAGGCTCTCTGGGGGTGGGGACTAGTCTTGCTCTTACTGGCCCCCAGGGGTGGCAGTGGGCATGTCTCCCCTGCTCCTGGGCATTGATTTGCAGGACCATTAACCTTCAGGGCTCTCCCACTGGGCCAAGGAGCCCCCTCTTCCATTTCTCTTGCCAACCCTAGTAGACCTGGCAGCAGATCCCTGGGAGAGATGGCATCTCTGGGGGCCAGCTGTCTCTCTCCCCCTGGCCAGGTAACTTCACTCATGCTTTGGCTAGGCATGTGTCAAATTGCACCCCCATCCATGAATTAGGTGTCACAATGCCTGAACCATCTGGGGGGGCAGCTTTACTGAAAGCAACATCTTCTCGCTCAGGGTTTCTCAACCACGGCAACTTTAAAATGGGTGGACTTCAGCTCCCAGAACCTCCCAGCCTGCATGCTAGCTGGAGGATTCTGGGAGTTAAAGTCCACCCAACTTAAACTTGCCATGGTTGAGAAACACTGCTCTAAATGATCCCTGTGGAAACTCAAAACTAAATTAACCCAAATAAACATCAGCAAAGCTCACAAGATGCATCCCACGGTGTGAGATTATTATTTTTGTTTCCTTAAAGAAATATCAGAGTGAAAAGCCAGGCCCTGATCTAAAACTGGTGTCCAAGGAGGTAGGGGGACTAAGTGATGGCACATACATCATGACAGCAACACTCAAATGATGCCAGTTATATCATCTGTGTCATTTGTGCAATGACACCATGCACGCATGATGTCATTGTGCCTTGTACCTGGTGCCTAGGCTGCCTCAGTTCCAGAGGATTCAAAAAAGTCAAGATGGAAGCCACGACCATGCAGTCAAAGCCCAAGCCCCTTTTTATGGGCATTGCGCAGTTGAATCTTGACTTTTTGGGCCCTCTCCCTGCAGACACCCCTGCTCAGTTTCATCTTCCAGGTAGTCAGAACACCAGTGCCCCAGTTTCGAGCTGGCCACCAATGGCGGGGTTGAGGCAGAGGAAAAGCCAGGCTGGTGAAGGGCTGTGGTCCCTCGCCTTTCATGGTGTGGGTTAGCTGGGGCCTCCTGGAGGCAGTTATGGTTCACATTACCAATGTCAAGACTGACGCCACAGTTTCTGCCAGAGCAGGAATGGCAGCTTCACCAATAGCTGGGAATCTCCCTTAAAGACCAAAGGCCGAAAGGGATGGCAGAGGAAACCGGGGCATCCTTGGGGGTCAAGGTGGTACCTGCAGCCGTATGATCAAATCCCCCTTTTTACATGCATTGTATGGCGCGGGATCAGCAACGTGGGCTTCCCAGGGTCAGCCTGATCCCCTGCCTCCCACTCCCACTCCCGCTCCTCCAATGCAGAAGCGGCACGCCCCCCCACCCCCACCCCCGCCAGCATCTAAATGGCAGCTGAGTAACCCACCTGTTGGGTGCTCCTCTGTGCTTGGTCCTGCAGTGGAGAATTCAGAAGCATCTACAAGGGAAATTCAGCACAGGTTACCATCCTACCATTAAGTCACCCTAGAACAGCGGTTCTTAAATGTAAACCAAGCCAGTTGTGCTTGGTTCAATCATTCCTGGTTAAGCAAATTCTGGATGAACATGTGTGAACCTAGCCCGGGTTTGATTCCACCACTGTATTTGTGGGAAGAATTAAAAGCCTGGACCTCTTAACCAAGATATGAGTCCAGTCGAAAATGTTTTCCATAGACTTAACCTTCTAACACTGAATGTGACCCTGTAGACCAGTGGTTTCCGCCCCCCCCCCCTCCCCAACCGTTTCCGCTCCGATCACCCAACCCCCCTCCCCCCACCCCCCCCTCCCCCCCCCTCAGTGGTGC